GACATGCCATAGGACACAGGAGCCCTCAGAAGGCCCTCCCAATCTCCAAAGCTGGAACAACTAGAGCCAAAAAAATAACATAATACAGGTTTATAACCCAAAATGTCAATAAATATACACGAGTCCACACTGATATAAAGACGTGATTGAATAAATAGGAGAAAGACTAATCTTCCTTAAAAAGAGCTCCAAATAACATATGTAGATACTCACCCCTCAAAGAGACCTGATTCCTGCTCTTTACCCTTGAGAGAAGGCTAGACATAGTGACTTGCTTTTTAAAGGATAGAGCAGGGCCCAGCTGGTGTGGCTCAGTGGATAGAGCGTCGTCCCATGGACTGAGAGGTCCTGGTTAGATTCCCAGTCAGGGCACATGCCTGGGTTTTGGGCTCAATCCCCAGCAGGGGGCGTGCAGGAGGAGTTAATCAATGTTTCTCTTTCCCTTCCTCTCTCTTTAAAAAAATCAATAAAAACCTATTTTAAAACATAGAGAATAGAATAGGAAAGGGGAAAATAGTGACTTTACTGGACAAACAAGTCAGCAAGTGATGAAGGTTAACCAAGTGATGACATCATCAGTGATGTCACATTAATGCCATGATACCCCTGATATGATGTGATGAGAAGGGCACTTCAATTCTTTGGTATTCTTTTCAAAACCTATAACCCTGGTCTCATCATGAGAAAAACACCAAACAATGAATGAGGGACATTCTACAGGACACCAGGCTAGCACTTTTCAAGACTATCAAGGTTAGGAAAAACAATAACTGAGAAACCGCCACAGAACAGAGGAGTCAGGGGAGACATGACAAGGAAAAGCTGGGTGATGCCCTGGACTGGATCTGGAACAGAAAGAGGACCTTCATAGAAAACCTGATGGAATCCAGAGTTTATTTAACAGTGAGGTACCAATGTCAGTTTGACAAAGTAACAGCAAGACGTTAAAGAAGGGGGAAACTGGATACAGGTATATGGGAACTCTCTGCTACCCTTGCCACTTCTCTGTACACTTAAAATGGTTTCAAAATAAAAGCCTTACAAATGTGTCTCTGTGTGTGTATATACATATATATAGTAGTTTCTGTCTCCCGATTGGACCCTGACTGATACAAGGACCTGCTCTCTATCAAACTTATCATTTTATGGACCTAATATATATCATCAAATATATATGTAAGAATAACCAGAGACAAGGGGACATAGAAATAGAATCTTTGAAAATTAAGCCAGCTGAACTCTGTTACTCAATAGATTTCAAGAGCATACATTTTATTTCAAGAATTATATGGTCACATGGCTGGTGTGGCTCAGTGGTTGGGCATCGACCCATGTGCCAGTTCAATTCCCAGTCAGGGCACATGCCCAGGTTGTGGGCCAAATCCCCAGTGGGGGGCATGCAGGAGGCGATCAATTAATGTTCTCTCTTGTCGATATTTCTATCTCTCTCTCCTTCTCCCTTACTCTCTCTCTAAAATCAATAAAGAAAAAAATATTTTAAAAGAATTATATGGCCACAAGAGCATACAATGGAGTAAAGACAGCCTCTTTAATAAATGGTGTTGGGAAAATTGGACAGCTACATGCAAGAAAATGAAGCCAGACCACCAACTTACACCATACACAATAAACTAAAATGGATAAAAGACTTAAATGTGATTTGTGAATCCATAAAAATGCTAGAAAAAAATGTAGGCAAAAATATGTCAGACATCACACGTGGCAGAATTTTCACTGATATAATGCCTAAGGCAAGAGAAACAAAGGAGAAAATGAACACATGGGACTACATGAAACTAAAAAGCTTCTGCACATCAAAGAAACAAGCATCAAAATGAAAAGGGAACCCACTGTATGGGAGAGCATAATTGCCAACAATGCATCAGATAAGGGGTTAATTTCCAAAATATATAGAGACTCAAACAACTCAACAAAAGGAAGACAAAGAACCCAATTAAAATATGGGCAGAGGATCTAAATAGATACCTCTCCAAACAAGACATAAAAATGGCCAAGAGACGTATAAAGAAATGCTCGACATCACTAATCATCAGAGAGATGCCAATTAAAATGACTGTGAGATATCACCTCACACCTGTCAGAATGGCCGCCATCAACAAATCATCAAACAACAAGTGCTGGCGAGGGTGTGGGGAAAGGGGAAACTAGTACACTGCTGGTGGGGATGCAGACTGGTGCAGCCACTATGGACAACAATATGGTGTTACCTCAAAAAATTAAAAATTGAACTTCCATTTGACCCAGTGATCCCACTGCTAGGAATATACCCTAAGAAGCCTGAAACACCAATCAGGAAGAATATATGTACCCCCATGTTCATAGCAGCACTATGTACAATAGCTAAGATCTGGAAACAGCCCAAGTGTCCATCAGTAGATGAGTGGATAAAAAAGCTGTGGTAACCCAGCTGGTGTGGCTCAGTGGTTGAGCATCAATCAACCCATGCACCAAGAGGTCACAGGTTCGATTCCCAGTCAGGGCACAAGCCCAGGCTGTGGGTCAAATCCCCAGTGGGGGGCATGCAGGAGGTGGCCAGCCAATCGATGTTCTCTCTCATCGATGTTTCTATCTCCCCCTCCCTCTCCCTTTCTCTCTCTCAAATCAATAAAAACAAAAAAATGATAGAAAAAAATAAAAGCAGTGGTACATATACACCATGGAATACTATGCAGCTGTAAGAAAGAAAGATCTCTTTTCCTTTGAGACAACATGGAGGGACCTGGAGAGTATTATGCTAAGCGAAATAAGCCAATCACAGAAAGACAAATACCACATGATCTCACTTATTTGTGGAATATAATGAACAAAATAAACTGACGAACAAAATAGGCCCAGAGATGTAGAAGTAGAATACAAACTGACAATCCTCAGAAGAGGGGGTGGGGGAAGGAGGGATGAGATAAAGCACAGAACTTACATGCATATAAGCATAACCAATGGGCATAGACAACAATGTCGGGGGGTGTCAATGGGGTAAAAAGGAGAAACATCTGTAACAAAAATAAATTAATTTTAAAAAGAAGAATGATATGGCCAAGAGTAAAGTAAAGTAGCTCCTAATGAGTGAGAGTGGAGTAACTGCCACAGACAAACCCCCGGGAAGACCCAGGGCTGCAGCTCAGAACAGCATTTTCTTAGGTGCTTAAAAAAGGTGCCAGAAATGTTTTTCTCCACACATCTTTGAAGATGTCAGATACCTGTCCTTGTTTATTTATGCATATGTTCATTATAAATAAACCAAAACAGGATCTGTAGAGAATAAACCAACAGTCGCATCAATATCATCTTCCTGGACTGAAAGAACATGTGTTCGCAGAGCTCCAGGGGCTTCCTTCGAAAAGAAGTCAACTCCCAAACAAAGCAGTTGTTTTCCAGAAGTCCTGAACCAGTTCCCGAGAGTCTGAAACCCGTGTAGGCTTTTGTTTTGTTTACACAGACACCCTTCAGTCTGATCTCAGCGCCACACAGGCTGCAGTCCTTGGGAGACCGAGGATGAGCACAGCTGAAGTGATGCCATTGCCTTCCCGCCCTGGAATTAGCGACAAACCGCACTTTTCCAGCGATGAATACACCCACTCCTCTCTATCCCACTGGTTTATACAATCATGTTATTTTTCCTCAAAATATGTAGGCACAACTGATTGTGAAGCTCGAAAAGTTCATGAAAGCTGCATTACCTCTGAGGTCAGTCGGCCAGAAAAACAGGCATGAGCCAAATCCCACATCCCAGACATTTTGCCTCAATGGCATGTGAACAAAATGCCCACTCTCCTCCTGATCTCCAACAGAAGCCAAACAAAACCCTGCTCGACAGCTATCCCCTGGAACGGGAGGCCTATGGGGGCAGAAGCACCCCGCGTGCGCGCACACACACACTCTCTCCCTGCTTAAGATGCAATGAAAAGGCTCTTTCACACAGAATGTTCTGTGCAGACAGTGCAGGGCACAGCCAAGAGACCACAAAACAGAAACAAGTAGTTCTAGCAAGATAAAGAGTCACCTCCCGAATCCAAATGTAAGCAGATACAAATTCTTAAAACCAGCTTACCTAGACAGCTGGAAGTCCTTTTGGGCTGGTTTCAGAAAATTGTTTTGTAGCAATGGGGACACCTTTGTGCTGTCATGAGAGCCAGCTAATTTTTAAAACTATTATTTTCTTTCTCTAAACATAACGATTCGTGCTTTACAATTTAGTTGCACTTGGATTCCTTCTCAGGTTTCTCAAGGCAAAAAGAAGTATGAAGGAGCAGGAAGTGGACACGATTACACACATAGCAACGAGCTAGACAGACAACTGGTTTTAGCTGTGAATTTAGAAAAGCAACTATATTATATGACATTCCGTCACTTAATGCTCATAATGAAAAATATGAGATTTTAAATGCAACCTGCTAATACTCCAAAATTTCATTATTCTATAATTATAATCATAACATAACAGACACAATGTACTATATTATGTTTCATTTACAGCAAATTGTTCATGAACTTTTGTTTATTACCAATATTTCACCCCAAAGTTATCTCCGCAAGTGCTCATTATTTGCATCTCCGAATGCAGAGAAAAATAGGTTAAGCATTGAAAATACCAAGTTGACTTCCGAGTTAAAACCCACACGTGCAATCACCGAAGAAACATCATAGATAATAGACACATGAAAACAGAAGTTAGAATATAACAGCCATGTTACCATGACTGCCCTGCTCTGAAAAATGCATTCATGTTCACGGAAGCATCAGCATCAGGTTATTGAAATCTTTTTGTTTCCAAGCACCTTTCTCTGTACTCAGTGAACAACAGCCCTGTATCTAATGCATGCACAGAGTTAAAGGAAGCTGTCTTAATGAGCTGGATTGGGTATCCACACCACGTCCTGCGTAGGGATGAAACGGGAAACCCGCGGCTCAGGGAATCTGCAGACAAGGGGGCCCTTCCAGCACAAACATCCCGAGACAGACAACAGCAGGTGGAAACTCACCACTGGAGCAGTTGGTGCCCCCCCAGCCAGGCTCACACTGACAGGTGTTTGGAGCAATGCAGCGACCGTGGACGCATTTATCAGCACAGTGGGCTGTCAGAGAGAAAAATCAATCAAGTCAGGAAAGCTGGCACGAGAAAAAGCCCCCAACAACACAGCTGTTTCCCATCCCGGTCTCAAGTATCACTTAAAAACAACATGCCTGCTTGATAAGTCCCTTCAACCCATTCCTCCGCCCTTCCCGTCCGCGGTGGAGCCAGACAATTCCCCTTCCCATTGTGATAGCTCCAAATAAATTCCTTCATTTCTACTATTTAATTCTACTTCATGCTAAATTAGGGGAGAAGTTTCAAGGAAAACTGCCTAATCCACTTTAAAAAATTATCAGCGACTACCGAATGTGCCCTCTTTGTTTCGGGAGAAGTGCGTGTGGCTGTGAATGAAGAAACGAACCACAGAGCAAGATATGAGGACCCCAGGGCGACCAGGCTGACCCAGAGGGCTCCCCTGTTACCTGCACCAGAAAGGGCCGTTACATTTCTTCGTGCACACGATATTCACAACTACCACACCACAGAGCTACATCCCCTTTTCCTATTGGAGGGGAAGGTCTGAAAAATGTCACCCAGGTCTTAGGAAACAGTAATTCCTCTTTCATTAGTGACTCTCTTAGGTGTGACCCAACCCATGAAGGTAGGTGAGGGGATCACTGCAAACATGGGTGGATGGGTAGTCGGATGATTTCCAAGGCAGAGTTCAGTGGGCTGGCAGAAAGGGTATCAAAGATACTATTCTGTGCTGAACATTAATGAGCATTCTCTTCAACCTGAAAGCCCCTCACATTGATTATACTGTTTTGTTTTGTTTTGAATGCTTGGATATCTGTGTAATTGTGAGAACAATTTGAAAGAGGTTTGGGTTAATATACTCCAAAATTTTATGTAATGATGATCTAAGGAACCCCATACTTTATAAATAAGTTTGAATTCACGTCTAATTACAAAAACAAAACAGGTCTACTGTCTAAACATAAAATACCAATAAATAAACCTCATCTCCAGTTCCACCAACTAGTAACATTTTTGTGGAGGTAGGAACTTTCAGCAATTTTTTTTTCCTATATATTTTTCTCCTCAAGGAAGGAAAAACAGAATCATAATATTTTTCAATTTGCCTTTCCACTGAGAAAATCTGTCCATGTCATTAAATACTTTTTGTGATTTATATACTGTGTGTATTCTATATTGCTGCACCCAAAATGAAAATGATAATCACTTCTAAGTTTTTCATCAAAAAGATTTACACATAAGGCAAAGGCATTTTAGGAGAGGAGAAAGCAAAAGCAAAATGCAGAAAGGAAAACAAATGAAAATGAGGCCTGTTTGGGTGCAGTGTCTGGAGCAATAGCTTTGGAAAGAGAGAGAGAGAGATCTTCAAAACCAATCTACACTGTTAGGACTTTATTCTGAGAATTATCTGGGAATATTCTAATGAAAAATATAAAATTTTTAAAAATCCATCAGGTAGAGGACACCACAACAGAATAAAGTGTCCATAAATTTCAGGAAATACAGGCTCATTTACATCACCAGAATACTTTTTCAGCACCTAGGCAATTTGGTGAGAGGTGCCAGGCCAGGTGAACTTGGGATGTTGGTGTAGAGTAGAAATCCTGACACTAGAGTTCGAAGGAGATGCTTAGGAACCTCAAATATTCGACTCAGACAATTACATATTTCGTTGGAATTAAAAGCAAAACCTGCCTGAAACACACGCACACTGGCCCTACCGAATGCTGACGTGCTGCCCGGTTAAGGGAGCCAGTTCCAGCCTCTGGTTCAGCGTCTCCTGTGCTTGAGTTTGATACTGAAGATGTGTTGCTCATTTGTGAAGTCCTAGCTCTGTACTGTTCTTTCTTTAAGAGTTAGATATGCACATATAAGCCAGCAAACTACCATAGCTGGGTGTCCAAGGAGCGATTAAATGCCACAGGAGGCTCAGGTCACATGCAGGGCATGCGCTGGACTGTATCACACTACGTCGCATGGTAGAGTGTGTGCAGGACACTGGCCTTACAGGGAGGGCTGGCACCCGCTGTGGACAGGTACATGTGACAGCGCTCACTCCACTCACGGACTGACGACATCTCCGTTCGCCCCACACAGTGATCAGCCCTCAGACCCAAACTGACCCATTTCTCCTCCTTCAAAATACTAAAACTGTTTAAAATTCTGTTTGTATGTCTGGAGAACTTTTAAAAGCCAGATGCTATTTGCCTTTACTATGGAACAAGCTTTCATACACTGCATTTAAAAGAAAACACAAAATTGGACACAGTGGTTGATAAAAAAGAAGTGTCACCTGTATCCTCGAATTTCAAATTCTTGTGTTTATTTACAAGTCTTGCTGTTCTTGTCAATTAACTTTATGCTGAGGAAATGTTATAAAATGTTAACATATACATTACATTAATAAAACACTACTTTAGGAGACATCCAGATAGGCAACAGGCACATGAAAAGATGCTTGACATCATTCATCATCAGGGAAATGCAGATCAAAACCACAGTGAAATATCACCTCACAGGTGTTAGAATGGCTATTATAAAAAAGACAAGAAATAACAAGTGTTAGTGAGGGTGTGAAGAAAAGAAAACCCTCGTGCACTATTGGTGGGAATGTCAACTGGTACAACCACTATGGAAAACAGTATCAAAGTTCCTAAAAAATTAAAAATATGACTACCATACAGTCCAGCAACTCCACTTCAGGGGTATTTACCTGCAGAAAATGAGGACACATTTGAAAAGATATAGGCACCACCATGTTCACTGAAGCGGTACTTACAACAACCAAAACATGGAAGCAACCTAAGCTCTCATGGATGGATAAATGGAAGCAACTTAAGCTCTCATGGATGGATAAATGGAAGCAACCTAAGTTCTCATAGATGGATAAATGGAAGCAACCTAAGTTCTCATGGCTGGATAAATGGAAGCAACCTAAGCTCTCATGGATGGATAAATGGAAGCAACCTAAGCTCTCATGGATGGATGAATGAACAAAGAAATTATGGTATAGATACAGCAGGAACTACTATTCAGCCCTAAAAAAGAATCACATCTTGTCATTTGCAACAATAAAGATGGGTCTCAAGGGCATTAAACTAAGTGAAATAAGTCAGGAATTGAAAGACAAACACCATATGATCTCTCGCATATGTGTAATCTTAAAAAATAAATAAATAAATAAACCCAAGTTCATAGAAACAAAGAAGAGCTTGGTGATTACAAGAGGCAGGGGGTGGGGGACAGCAGAAATGGGTGAACTAATTTTTTTTTATTTTTAGTTTAAACAAATTGAATTTAAAAACCTACTACTTTACTTATTTTTATATTTGGGGCATTCATAGCAGATTTCATTTGACAAAAGAATCAATTTCACCATTTGAAAATTTGAAATTCAAGACCCTGGATTAGATACGAGTAACTGGGTATTTCCTATCTACCTGGGGTGGGGGGAGGACTTTGGGGTGTTCTATGGGCAGGTCTTAATTTGTTGCCCTCCCTTTCTTCTCTATTCTTTCATTTTTTACTCTTTATCTTCCTTTTACCACTCATCTTTCTCTCCCCACAAACTACTTCTTCGATATGCATAGCTACCATACAGGCTGCATAGTAAGCTCTGGTTTCCGTTGTAGTTTTGTGGACTCTTAACCCTGGTGTGACCCTACATGATTCCCACTGTGCCCCCCTGAATCAACTCGGAGGAGGGGTAAGACTGAGCAAGCAGGTCTACCGTCCTCCCTCCAATACCAGGATGGGTCAAGAAATGCAAATGTTAGACCTGTGCCCACAGGGTTCAGAGTCAGAATTGCATGTTCTTGGATTCCAATCAATTGGTGCTTGTTGCTCTTGTTTTGTTAATTAAAAAAAAAAAAGATATTAAGTGAATTGCTCCATGTAAAAATCAAAGATCTGCTTCAGAATGCTTTCAGATGGCTGAAACGTTCTCATGTTTGATTCCTGATGACGCAAACATTGTGCTTTATAAAATGAACATCAAGAAATTCAATTCCAATAGAGGAAGAAAAACTCCTAGGAGGGTAATTTTAAAATCTCTGTTATTTTTATGAAAACCTTGAACAAACTAACATTTGGCCTAGGTCTGATGCCTAGTTGAATCTGTAGTAGAAAACAAATTGGTCTGTCAGTTAATTAGGAAGGGGGAGGGGAAAGCTGCTTTCCTAATCATTTTCTTTCTTAATTAAAACTTAAAGCCAACGGCATTACCTCTGCATAGTGCAGCCTAAAGTCAGATAATGACCTAACTCATGAGAAATATTGTTGGCAGGGAATCTGTAAGAAGAGAACTCCGAACTCTGCTTCCATGCTACAGAATCTACACCCTGCATTAGACTCACACAAGTGCCATCTCTGCCCCAAACCTGTATGCCCCAGCTTGGGCTCGCCACATCCGGCAGCAGCCCTTACCTGCAGGAGCAACGGGAGCCAGCAGAGGACACAGCGTGAGCCGTCAAACTCTGTGTTCTCTGGAGCCCCAGCTCACCAACCTGCAGGAACACTAACTGTGGCATAAGTGGAAACAAACAGACTCCCCCTCGGAGATCAGCCTATCTTTCCTCCTTCAGCTTTTTTTTTTTAATCCTCACCCAAGGACATTTTTCCATTTTTTGTTCAGGTAGAGTGGGAGGGAGAGAGAGGACCAGAGAGAGAGAGAGAGAGAGAGAGAGAGAAACATCGATGTGAAAGGAACACATAGAGTGGCTGCCACCCGCATGACTGACCAGGGCCGGGGACAAACTGCAACCAAGGTACATGCCCTTAGCGGGAACCGAACCCAGGTCTCTCAGGGCCACAGGCCGACGCTTTAACCGCTGAGCCAAACCGGCCAGGGCTCCTCCTTCAGCTTTAAACACTACCTACTCTGGCTGCGGAGCTTCCACAACTAAAACTCCACATAAGAAACCAGCATAGGTTAAGCCCATGAATTAGTCCTGCAGAAAGTCCCAGAGTGAACTGTAAAAGAGAAAGGGAACAGAGGTCCCCCTCAGCAAATGTTCAACAGCTCAC